TTAAGAACATGCAGGAAAAGGGCAATACTCCACGAGTATGCCGAACAAAATCTCAAAAAATCAAGTTGTATTTTGTAATATTCTCATGGTTCATCAAGTTTCTCGACCAAGCCCATACCGACTCGAGTCGCAAGATTGGCCAATGAGATTTGGGCGTCCCCCACGAGTACACGTATAATAGTCGACGAGATTCACTCCGATCGACATACAAGTCATGTTCACGTATAATACACGTATAAGTCAAATAAAGGAGAATAAGTGCGATAAAGTACACACTCACCTCATCAAGTTATGTTCACGTATACAAGTAGATTAATCAAGTAAACATGACAAATAATGCACTTGACACTCACCGATTCAAAATAAGTGAGCAAACAATGCTTGAAGTATCTGCACCGAGATTCCCTTCGAAATCTCCTTGAGCGCCCGAACAATTAACAAGTATTTCTCACTCACAATCACGTATTAATCAAGAAAGAAGTTACACTCATTTAGACTAGTCAATACTTCAAACAAAGAACCTTAGCCACTCACGATAAAGGTTCAAAAGTGAGGTTTTATTAACACAAGAAAAACTGATTTCCTTCATGAAATTGAGTTTAAAACGATCAATCATTATCAAAGGGTAGGGAAGAGTTTCCAAAAACTCATTTCCCATCGTGTCGGAAAATTTCAGTTTTTGCACGTCAAATTTAGAAAAATTAGAACTTGCAATCAGTAGGTCCAAAATTGGAAAACTTTACCATTGGAATCTTGGTTCAAAGTACTAAAAGTTTTTAGAAGACACTTTTCAAAGATTGTAAACGGAAGACAATCATTTTTCAGCTCAAAGTAGCTGATCTAGTAAACAAGACAGTTTCGATCATGTTTTTCGGCAAACTTTGGAAATTCGGTGAAATTCACAAAAAGTGAACTAGCCTCTGAAATTTGTAACACAATAAGAATTCCAATCAAGGTTTTAAACACAACAAATGAAACTAGATTTGGAGTTTTGAGTGCCAAAATATAGCAGCTCAAATTTGGCCAAAATTGAAGACTGTTCTGTGAATTTTCCAGATTTGAAAACAAATTTTGGGACTTCAGTTGGGTATCGAAATGGTTTTAGAATAATACCAAATTTGGTACAATTCAACTTCCATATGGGGACTACTCCTCTATCAAATTTCACGTAAAAACTCGTACAGGAAGGTAGTTAACAAAACTACCAAAGTTCAAGAAATTTCCAAGACAAATCTGTCTTCTTGCTTTCTTTTCCTTTTCAAACGCTTTGCACCATGAAATCAGTCCCATTTTGGTTCATTTGTGAAACCAAGGTCCAAGAAACATTTCATAAGCAGTTCATAGTTGGTTGACATCAAAATTTTCAAAGCTAAGTATCTCACAAACAACCAAATCAGTTGGCCAGCAAAAAGTAGGGTTTTCCAGTTCTGCTGCAGTTTCCAAATTGTACCATATCTCACTCAATATAACTTGGAATTGAGAATGGTCAGTGGCATTGAAAAGTAGATTCAAAAGGCTACATTTCATCAGAAGAAGTCATTTTGAAAATCAGTTCATAGGTAGCTCGAATTCAAGCGACAAGTCGCAGCTTCTCACTGCCATTCGAACATAATAGCAGAACAGAACAGGAAACTTTGGTGAATCACTACGGATCACTCAGTTCGAACTAGATGGTGCATTTCATACCATTGGAAAGCTACAACTGTCTGGTTTCACTCGATTTTGACTTTTGTACATAGAGATATGTTCAATTAAAGAGACACTGTTCATCAGCCCAGAATACGTTTTCTAGGTTTCTATAAATTTCGAAAATTCAACTTTTGCTCAACCAATTCAAATGATTTTTGGTAGAAACTTTCTACACATAATATATAGCATATATCTATCAGTTTTACAATCATTTGAGCCCCCAAAATTCGAAATACAGGTACGGCAAAAACAGGACAGATTTGTCTAGCATTCCTGTGAATCTTTTCCTTCGATTCCTCTCTTCCTTTCAAATCTTAACACTCATCTACACACTAACACATATATTATCATCATATCAGCCCATACAACCAAGGTGGAAACTTATAGAGCCCACTTCAACCAATCCAATCCAAGTAACAGCAACAATAATGAAGATACAAGCTTCAAAACCAAGAATAAACCCACTAAAGCCAAGAATAAAAGATTGGATGGTGTTGGATGATTGCCTCCTAACCTTGAGAGAAACCAGAAATTTTTGCACCACTAATGCTCCAAGAAACCGCAAGGATGATGCCTTTCTTCTAGCTTAAGTGAATCTCCAAGCAATTTATGAGTTGGATGCAAAGTTTGAGATGAAATGGAGGAAGATTTGAAGTAAAAATGGAGTGAGCTTCTTTCTTTCTTTGTCTTGCTGTTCGGCCGGCACTAATGGAGTGAGGAGAAGAGTTTTGATGTTATGTGAAGCTTCCTTGAGAAGCTTAAGGGTTTTGGGCAAAATTTCTAACAAAAGTCAACTCGCAATAGTGCTCGCGCACGCGCATTTCGTATCCAATTTCTCTCGGATTTGTTTCAATTGTGCACTAAACCTCTAATGTAATTCCTTTAATACTATAATTATTCACTCTTAGTAGTCTAGTATTAGTTTCTTAAATCTCCAATTAGCCGTTCTGACTCGATTTACGCGAACTTCCAATTCGCGTGTGTTAAAGCGAAATTGAAAAGAAATTCTTATAACGATAATATAATTAACTAATACTAGGGCAAATCATTATAAAAATAACTATTTTTAAAAATAAAACATGAGTCCTCAAATTTCCAAGATTATTGCACTCTCAGATCGAATATTGCCTCGAAAACGTGTATTCGCTATTTCTTACTAAACGAGCCTCCGAAAAATAAATTTTTGCTAACGAAACGTTTTAAAAATATAAGGGAAACATTGTTCCATACATATGGACTTAAAATGGTTGAAATAAATAATTTGGAGAAAATGGGTGAATAAATATTTAAATAAGTCAGTAATATACGATAAAAATAAGAACTTTTTTTTTTCTGGATCCTCACATATAGTTTAAAGTCTTATAGAGTATTTTGAGTAAAATTGAGCTTAAAATCATCATGAAAACTTAGAAATCAAGGCTGAAATTCTAGCCCTTTGTTTTCGGCCAGCAAGCAACAAATTTCCCAATTTTCAACCAAACATATCTAGCAAATCCATAAGGTTTCATCACCAACATAATAATAGATATATAAAGTCAAATCTCAACAAGAAAACCACCATAATTGCATATATATCCAAACCCTAAGAACTCAAGTATCAAGTTCGAGAATCATCAACTTGGGAGACTTCCAAGATCCACCATTGTCTTTAATCCCACAAAACTAACTTATTTTAAAAAAAAAAAGGTAAAGAAAGAAGGATAATCTAGCATTTTTACCTCTTTTGCTTCTCAAAGCATAGTGAAAAGCAACCTACAACCCACCAAATCTTCTTCCCTTCCAAGTTTAAGCCAAGGTTGGTGGTATGATCAAGATCTTCCCTTCCTTCCCATAAATCTAAACAAGATTGAGGTTAGAATTGATGAAGTTTCTCTTCCCTTTTCTTCCTAAAGCTCTAAGCCCTCTCTCTCTCTCTCTTTCTCTTGTTGTTTTGTTTTTGTTTTTTTTTTTGACAGACAAGAAATGGAACAAAAATGGTAAGAAAGGTTTGGTCAAAGAAGTCTTTAAAGAATAAAGCGTGGTTCCTATTGCGCCACATGTCCAATTCTCATAACTTCTTGCTTCAAATATCTCATCTCTCTCTTATTGCACTAAACTCCCTCTTTTTTTCACTAAAGTTTCCTTACACACCTTACTAAAAGTCACAGTCACCCCATTCACTAACTCTCACATGTAACAATTGATAAATTCATTAAAGCTAAAATTATTTTCAAATCAATAAACAAATAAATAAGTAACTAAACAAATAAAATGCAATGTAGTTAAAACGGGTAAAATGACAAAATTTTTCAGATCCTCACACCCTCCCCCTTAAAAGAATTTCGTTTTCGAAATTCTCACCTTGTCTTGCAAATAGTTCAGGATATTTCTTTTGTATTTCTTTCTCTACTTTCCAAGTTGCTTCTTCCATCTCGTGATTCTTCCAAAGAACTTTACCAAGGGAATTTGCTTGTTTCTTAGTTCTTTCACCTTTCGATCTAGAAGTTGCACTGGTCGTTCCTCGTAGATTAAGATCTCATCAATTTCAATATCTTCTGGCTGGAGCACATGAGTTGGATCTGGGTGGTACTAAGTTTCAACAAAGTAATCTCAGCCCAAATCACATGGTTTCTATCTCAATTCAAGGGGAACATCCATGTATACCTTAGGTCAATGATTTAAGTAAATGGTAGTGCAAAAATTTCTCATTTTCATCCACCAATTTGAGTTTAAAACTGCCCAAATCAATTTTGTTTCTAGGTTGGAAATCCTGCACCTAAACAGGAAAAAGTGAGGTTTTCACCTCTTAAAACTTATCATTTTTCACTCAAATCCACAACTCATGCTATGGTTAAGGTATAATCAAGTGTTTAGGGCATTAACAAGATGATTTCACTATACAAAACCAAAAGTAAAACCAGTGAATCAACTCATGCAGGCCATGTTTAAAGCATTAAAAGTTTAACAAGCCAAAAGGTATAAGTTCACAGCCAACATTTTAGAGATAAAACTGGAGTTAAAGCTCAAAGAAAATGGTAGCTACATATTCCCGATTTAAGCAGGAACTTTTTTCCTGTAAAATAGCATCCATTTGTCGAAAGCAAGGTCGAAATTTAAACATGGTTCATGGCTGGAAGTTTTCCTCCATAACAAGTTACATGTAAGTGGATTGCTAACCCAAAAACTCAACTTCCTTTCATGGTTCAAGTATAAATTATGCAATGCCTCATAGTGTGACTATAAGGCATAATCCCTTTGAAAACTTCAACAAAAATGGAAGTTACAAGCTAGAAAACATAGCTTCTACCTTACGGTTCAGGCAAGAATATTCCAGCAAGTGTTTACTCACTTTCAATCATAAATCACACACAAACAAGCTCATAATACACAGACAAGTGCATATCCAACATTTCCAGCCAAGTTTATACCAAAATATCCATTCAAAGTCCAGGAAATTTCCATCGCTTAAGTTAGCAAATGATATAACTGGCAAGACAAGCATTAAATACAAGGCAAAATCAAAGATTATAGGGTATCTTTGACCAACACTTGCACAATTTTCAGTTCACAAAACAATACACAAAAGGGAAAAAAATCCAATGTAGGTCAAAGAAACTTCAGTCTTTTTGGTACACAGAAATACTAATTAACGTCATAAAGTGGCCTCAAATCAAATTGTAGAGATGGTTCTCTCTCCAATTCCTGATTCTCTCCTCCATTGGCTACTCCAGCCGTTGCCGGGGTTTGCACTGGTAGCTCAGAATCGTAGTTGTGCCTGTCCACGCATTCGTTCTTCAATACATAAGTAAGACAAATAACCAGAAGGCTTCCAAGGCCCAAGACTAGAACAGTCGGGACATATGCACGAAATGGCATCTTAATCAGTTCTTAATCAGAGTTTTTAGTTCTCTTATCTAGGCTAATAATTAATCAAAAAATATTGTATGAAGATTAATCACTTCTTCTAGTTCACGATCGATTAAAGATTAAATATTGTATAACTTCTTCGAGTTCACAATCGATGTCTTCACTTTGTTCACGGGAGTAGTTTGCATAATCAAGGAATGCTTATTAAGAAGGAAATCAACCAAACTAAAATTGAGTAACATTATTAAGACACCCAAAATATGTTAAATTAGTAAACTAGCAATTTTTAGTGCAATGCAATTTCCAAAGTTTAAAACTTACGAAAAGGCTACATTTACGAAATATTAACACTTGAACTGCATTTTAATGAGTGCCTAGTGTTCACTTGTTAGATAACCCTTGTTTGACAACTATTTATATCAATAGCAATGATAATTTACAGCATTAGTATTAGACTATGTATAATGTGTGAATTTAGTCCCTCTTAATTTTTTGGTAGATGTAAGTTACAATGTGTAAATAAGAGTAATTGAACACTTTTTAAGTAATTTATAGGTTTAAAATTACTTTGTTTATAAGGTGTAAATTATGTTACCTAAACTTTAACTAGATGCTGGTTCTAAACTTTAATCATGTTTTACAATTTTCGTAATCTTTATGTAATCTCTATGGTTTTTATGAAGGTTATGTATTTAAATATTTTTAATTTATTTTCTTACACCATTTGTAAAACATTCGGGACTAATCTAGGCTTGGCATTCTTTATGGATTAGATTTCTTTAGGCTGAAATATTGGGGACCAATTTGTCCAAATTGAACTATTTTGAGGACTATAATTGGTTCGGCCAAAACATTAGAGACCAAATTGGTTCACAAACCTAATACTGAGAATTGGAATTGCATCCTTACCGCTATCAAATTCCAAAATCCTTAGTTGCCGAGGGAAAATAAAGCCTAATAATGTTGGAGGTGCTTTGATAAGTGACAAATTTGTGCAACTTTTTGATGGGAAATTGTCATTTTTAGTCACTTTTGGGAAATTTAAGGTGAAACAAGTCATCTTTTTGTTTAAAATGTGGTGTTCAATAAGTTTATTAGAATCTTAAGTAGTTTATGTTCCTTTTATTTGCATCATGTCCATGATTTTTGGTTAGAATCCTAAAGTTCGTGAGGGTAGCGAGTTTCAATGGTGGTTCGAGTCATAAGAAAAAGAAAACGAAGAAATTTGTCGAAAAAAAGGTTGACTCAAATCCCTCCAAGGAATCCGGCTGGTTTTTTTTAAGAGGGATTGCTTGGAGGGATTTGAAATAGTGAGTTGGATCGAAGAAACAAAATTCGAAAAAAAATAGGGGCAGAATTCGACCAATTTTTGGAGGATTGTTGGAAGGATTCTAGTCAACAACATTTGTGGCTACAACTTGTCCAACTTGATCTCATCTACATAATTTCACTTTTTTTAGGGACTTTTTGTAGCTCATTTGCACCTGTAATTATGATAGTTTGAGCATCTAATAGTTTGAGCTTCTTGACATTTCTTGAGCAAGGAAAAAGAGAGCTTTTTAGTTCTTAATACTTTATACTAGATATTTTTCTAAGAAGAAGTTGAAGAAATATTTCATTTATAACTGATAGAGTGCATTTTAGTAAGTTATTTCGCTAGTATTTTATAGTTGTTTGGACTAAATATTGCACTATTAGGTAGATTCTACTTATGTTTTGTGTTGGGTGTTAATTGCAAAAATTGGTGAAGAAAAGGTGCTGAAAATCAATTCCAGAAGACTTTTTGATAGTTAGGCGCAGGCACGCCTAGTTCCAGCCTTCAACTCCGGATTCTCGAGATTTGTTGCACGTGAGAGGCTTCCAAAATTGCATCAAGTAGTTGGTTACAAATTAGAAAGCTAATGGGCCACTCCCAAGAAGAAGGAAAACTGAGAAAGTTGACTTGTAATAGGGCTTTCTTTTAAGAATTTGATTGGTATTAGAATACCAATCAATTAGGAGTCAAAGTAGGAAAGAAATCATGAGACAATTGGTTTCCATCTTTTTTGGGCGGCCGGAAACGAAAATGGGAGCATTGTACTCTTGGATCTTTGATTTTTCTTGCCTTTTGGGAAAATTGGGAAGAAAAGAACGAAAAAGCAATAGTCTCCTTCTTGTCTTTTACTTTTCCTCTGTTGACCGAATTTGTGAGACACAATTGAAAGTTTTTCCGAATTCTTTTCGCATGGCTGGTTCTCCATTAATGGAGAACTAAATTCTTATTTCTAGTCAAGGGGACAACTGAAGATTTAGTTCAATAATAACTGTGAGATCTAAATTATTTTAATTACTTCTTTCATTCATTGGTATTTGTATGTTTTCTACTTTTAATGATTATGACTATTGTGTATGATTGAATAGTTGCACAATATTTAATTATTCACGTAGTTTATTTGTTAATTTGGAGTAGTTGAATCCATAATTGTTTGATTACTCGCATCCCGGTAGCAACTGACATAATTGGATTTGTGTCGAGAAAACGTACAATCTAATTTAAATAAACTCTCATAGCGTGTTTATTGATTAGGGTAGGATTTCTCTAGTTTTTAATGCAATTGGGAATTAAATCCTATGGTCGTACCTAGAGTTATTTCTAAATTAGAAAAATAGTCAACGGTCGTACCTTAACTATCGAAACAGTAAAGAGAGACTAACTGTCAGATCGTATCGGTAGTTAAAAACCTACTTATTAATGAATGTTGAATTATATATGAATCGATGATCAGTTGCATGAGCCATTTTTGAAGTGTATCATTGGCTAGAGTTTCCTAATTATTTTTCTTAATTAATTATTTTTCACAGTTAATTTATTTAGTTGACAATTTATTAGCATTTAATTCTCAAACCCCCTGTTTATCTTGACTTTAAAAGAAACAAACTTTTTCCAATCCCTGAGTAGACGACCCTACTTGCCACTGTTTACTAGTTAGTAAATTTTGTCAATTGTTTAATTCTGGTATATCGGATTAAGCAAATTCTTCGAAATCAGGGTGAATCAAGTAACTCATTACATATGCAGAGTTCCTGCTCCAGTACCTGGAATTGATTATTAACTGTTTTTTGTGGTAGTTAGGTTCTTATTATTATTGCACAGGCTCGACACCTGTCAATTTTTGGCGCCGTTGCCGGAGACTGGTGCTTGAATTATTTGTTTCTTTTTGGGTTTTTTTTTATTTTTGATATTTTTACTAGTTTTTGCATCATTCTTCTCGTACAGGCGAATTGATATACGATCCTAAAGTTGAGAAGGCAGCGCATAGGCGAAGACAAGAGACCAAGAAACGCAAAAAGGGACAGTCATCTACTGTATACGATTCCGAAGACGACGAAGTTAGGGAGTTGGCTGCCTCGGAGTTGACCCACCAGCCTTTATGCATTACATTCCCAACTCTATTTGAGAATACTTCCTTCGAGCTAAAATCAAGGTTAATTCATCTCTTACTCTCGTTCCATGGTCTCTCCAGTGAGGAACCCCATAAACACATCTAGGAGTTTGAAGTGGTATGTTCTAGCATGAAACCTCCTGGAGTTACAGAAGAGCAGATTAAACTAAGAGCATTCATTTCTCTCTCAAAGATGTAGCGAAAGATTAGCTATACTACCTACTCACAGGTAGTATTACAACATGGGCACAGCTAAAAAAGAAATTTTTAGGGCAAATTATATTTTACCTCCCTTTGCTTTAGCCTTTTTTTACATAACCCTCCTATAGTTTCAAAAACTATACATAACCCCCCATAGTTTAGATTAAAGTGTCTGAATGACGGAAATAGTTAAGAATGATCATTCCCGTCACTTTGACACTTTAATTCAAAACATGAGGAGATTATGTATAATTTTTTGAAATTATAGGGGGGTTATGTAAAAAAATGTAAAATCACAAGGGGGTAAAGTGAAATTTGCCCAAATTTTTTAAAAAAATTCTTCCCTGCATCCTGGGTTGCAAGTTTGATGAAAGAGACATGCAGTATCAAGCAGTACCCCAGGGACTTTTTATGTGATTATTGAGAAAGATTCAATAAATTGTGCACTAGATACCCTCAACATCAAATTAATGAATAGCTATTGATCCAGTACTTCAATGAGGGGCTGCAATCATCTGACAAAAGTATTATTTATGTTGCGAGTGGAGGAGCACTGGCAAATAAGACACCGAGAAAAGCAAGGGAGCTTATTAAAGCAATAGCAGAAAATTCTCAGCAATTTGGCTTCTGTGAGAGTAACCCTACCCGCAGGATCAACGAGATAGAGACGTCATCCATTCAACAGCAACTGTCGGAGTTGACGTTTTTTGTTCGGCAACCAGCCGTGAGGAATGCGCAGCGAGCGAAGGTCTGTGAAATTTGTACAAACGTGGACCACCCCACAGACGCATGTCCCATTTTGCAAGAAAATGGAGTTGAACAAATAAACATGGCAGGAGACGTGCCCGCGCTCCGTAGGCAGTATGACCCCGTATTCAAGCACGTATAATCCTGGTTGAAGAGACCATCCCAACTTCAGTTACGGGAATAGAACAGGCCGCAGAATTCATTTATGAATCGTCTTCCAGGATTTCAGCAACCATGGCAAGTAAAGCCTCAACATTGGTCTATAGATTCAGGAGACTCTTTGGAAGGCATTGTCAAGAATCTGGCCACAAATACTGCTCAATTTCAAAAGGAAACTAGATCGGGCCTGTTGGAAGCTAGATCAGGCATGAAAAATCTGAAAACTCAAATAAGTCACACGAAAACTGCAATTAATCGCTTGGAATCCCATGTTTTTGGAAAATTGTCGTCACAACCCAAGGCAAATTCCAAGAATATAAGTGACATGACACTGAGAAGTGGCAAGAAAGTGGAGAGGCCTAAGTTAACGAATCCAAAA